AACACAGACGCAAAGTATTGATAAATAACTAGTAAAACTGAGATCAGTGACTAGGGCTATGCTCGGAATAGAATACTAACATATTCATACTTTTTCTGTAATATGGAGTCATTGTTTCATTCAAAAGTGTGGGGTCGGTAAGATTTTTCAATGTTTTTAAAGACTCTTATGTTCACCAAGGCTGCATTTATTTGACCAAAAAAACATAGTTCAAGCAACAATATTGTGAAATAATAGTACAATTTAAAATAATAGTTCACAATATTTTAAAATGTTAATTATTCCAGTGATAGCAAAGAATTTCAGTGTCACATGAACATTTCTGATTGTTATCAATGTTGAAAACTGTTATGCTACTTAAAATTTTTGTGGAAACCTTGACCATTTTTCGGGATCCTTTAATGAATAGAAAGTTCAAAGAACAGCATTTGTTTGAAGTATAACATTATGAATGTATTTACTGTCACTTTTATCAATTTAATGCACCCTTGCAGAATAAAAGTGTTAATTTGTTTACAAATGTTTCACAGAAGCCAAACTGTTCAATGGTAGAGAATCCTGTGCATAATATGAGAGATTAATTTGCTAATTTCTCTTAAAAAACGAGAATAATATGCTAATTTCTGCATGCATAGAATACCCATATATTTTAACCACCTAAATTCCACAAAATGTGAAATTTAATGCAATGTACTCCGCATTGTTGGCATAATAACTGCATAATAACTGCTGTTACTACAGTCACAAAATGAAATGACAAAAAGACTAACATAATAAGGTTATATTAATGTGAATAATGGTTACTTTAACATCAAAATTTGTGCATACTGTACATGTACAAAACCATCCCAATTCAAACAGTTTAAATGAATGAATGGGTTTCTAGGTGCTGCTGAAGTTACCTGCTGAAAAACACAGAGAGGGAGAGGAAGGAAAGCTCCCCCAATCCTGAACTAATACTGGCAAAGACGACACCTGAGGAAAGATTCAGAGGTTCATCATCACAACACTTATCAGATCTCATTAATCCAACTCAAAAGAGGACATGCTCATTACCAGTTATGCTCATCAATACAGTCGAAGAAAATGACACCATCAGGAAGCTGACTACTGCCGTAAAGAAACACACCAAAACACGGAAACTGTTCAAAATAAAAGTGAAAGAAAATAACACATCAATTAACATTTTTTGTCTTTCACATAACTATCTTTCTTTAACAGAAAAAAAAAAAAAAAAAACACTGTGCGGAGCTACATTCAAATCAAAATCATCCTTTCAACTTTAACAGGTTTGACATTGATTTCTCACACTATTGCACACTATCCATCGCTTATCACAGTCTTCCATGACATAATTTCAACATCTACGCAGCTAAACCTGTCTGAAGATGCTGATAAGTAAAATAAGTGCTTGTCAACTTTACCCATAAGGCACTTTGTGTATATAGAAAGGTGCTGTGAATTTGATTATGAGGGTGGGTAAGATGTCAGCCAACAGCACAGCCTAGAAACAGAAATAAAACAGTGTCACTCCCTGGACAAATATTTAAACATACACAACATGAGGGACATGTTTGAACAGTTGAAACAGGGAATGACAGAGACTGAGAGAAAGAAAGACAGACGTACCGCAGTAGACACAGGATTGCAGTCAAAGCGGTTGCTGCCGTTCCTTATCTGTATGTTAGTCCCATTTGGAGCTGGAGTCTAGAGCGAGAATCCAATAAAAAAACGAGAAACACGAGTAATAAAACCTTGTGGAAAAAGTATAGTTTAACATACTTTTAAAAAGAGTACATAATGGACATAATATACTTTAAAAGAAAACTAATGTTATTGGAAATTCTATTATAGTTTAAATTAATTAAATTAGTTACATTTAAGAGTGTAGGACTTAAGTACATCTTTATCCCCTGTTTCACAGACAAGGCTTAAGGTAGTCTGAGACTAAAATTCATGTTTGAGCTGTTTCAACTGAAAGAAACTCACACTGGTATATCTTAAAACATGTTAGTGGCATTGTTTTGTCTCAAGATTTTAACCATATATGTAATTTCATAATTACTTCTAAACTCTTTGCAATATGACTGAATGTACAGATAAGCATTAATGGTAAACAAAAACATAATGTAATGTATTTAAATATATTTGTAATTACACATTTATAATGATTAAGCTGCAATTTAGTATTTTTAAAATATATCTACTTAATATGTAATCTGTTAGTCAATACTTTCATATAATAAGTGTACTTCTTAAAAGCAAGACTAAAGAATATTGAAACATGACTTTAACATTTGACTATTACAAAGTGTACTTTTTAAAAGTATACTTAGGTTTGCTAATAAGAACAATAACAACATCTTTAATATCACGTTATTTAATTAATTATATGAGTAATTTATTCATTTATTTTGAAATACACTTTTAGTTCAAAGTACTCGTGCATATTCAATACAATTAAACACACTTATTTGTTTACGAGGGAAGGATGGAGTTGTGGCAACTGTTTTTAGCAATATAACCATAGCCAAATCTCAGAAATATCTTACAGGTGTTGTTGTGTTTTGAGATTCCTGTTTTTGTAAGATGTCATGTGCTGCACTCAGCATCACCACATATGCAAAGTTATTGCAAAGTCCCAGTAACCTAGATAGAGATAATGAAGATTAGTTTACATATTGCGTATCACTTTAAGCAAAGTTTACAGAAGATTCACTAACCAAAACCCAATACAAATTCTCCAGCGCTGAAAACGACCTATAAAAAAAACACATATCAGGATAAAAAAAGCTTATTTTATAAATCATGAAATACTGTTAAAGTGTCGTTATAACCTCCTACCTTCAGTGTGAGCTGTAATGACAGGGTCAGAGTTTAATGCTCGGTCCATTTTGCGACTTTAATCACTGAAAAAAACTACTTCTCTAGCCGAGGGTTCAACTACAGACATCCGTAAAAATTACATATTCATAACAACTGTGTATCTAAATGATCATAGCTCATTTGCAGCGGCGTAATGTTAGATAAACAGACAGGCACAGATCCACTGTCTTACACTTTCATTACCTCAAATTAAGCGACAGCAATCACAACCACAACAGCACGATGGTGCTACACAGAAATAGACCCGACTGAGCGCAATACTGCGAGGAGTAAACAGTTCCCACCGACTGCAGTGACTGTTTCTCAACATGAGGACAGGAGAGGTGTCAGTCAATAAATGGGAAAACATAGTAACTTGTGTTGCTTATTTGAACAATTAACTTAGATATGTTGATGTAAATGTAAAAGTAATTCATTTCTTGAAAAAAGTAATAGGATTACGTAACTTGCGTTATTTGTAATGTAATCCCAAACACTGGCCAAAACACCTACCAACTAACTTTGCTATGCTAAAACTGGACTTCTTGGTTTATTTAGAGAAATGTCAGATATCACTGCAAGAGAAAAACATCACACAAAAAAAGGTCACAGCAGTTGCTGCGTCCAGCAGTTTTTTTTTAACAAATAGCTACACATAGCTGGTGCACTATTTTAACCCCTTTTTTACAGATTGCTGATGGTGTGTTTTGCCATTATTATTATTATAACATTTATCTAATGGTTAGAGAGTCAGACTTGTAACCTAGGTTGCATACCCTCGAGCAAGGTACCTAAGTTAACCCCTATCTCTCCCCAGGCACTGCAGAATGGCTCTCCACAGCTCCGTGTGTGTGTGTGTGTGTGTGTCTGTGTACTGTAACTTTGATGGGTTAAATGCAGAGGACAAAATCAGAGTATGGGTACTTGGCCTTCACTTCACTGTTTTATTGCCTTTTTGCATTCAGTGACCGAAAAACTAGCTTACTAAACTAAACAATGCTGTGAGGGTGTTATACAACAACCGAGCGAATAACAGAAAAATCATTGTATCTTCAAGGTTTGGATATTTTTCCAATCATGGATTATTTTTCTTTTGGAAAAGAAAATGGGAATGAAAAAAAATATTTTCACATTTTCGGTAGCGCCCCATTAACCATTAGAAGTTTACTATTCACAGTACTATAAGAATATGTGTACCATTTGAACAAGTATTTAACATTATAGTTACCAAACCCATTAGTCAAGATTTCTGCCATTCTCCATTATCAGGACATCATTTGCATATCACTGTCTCCCTCTACTGGTCAGCCTTCATAAATGCATCAAAAACTAAACTGCAGGACTGTTCATTTATAAAAATAAATAAATAAAAAGTATTAGAAAACTTTTTTCTTAATTTATAAGAAAATATATAAGAACATTTCTATTTTAACAGAAAATGTAATTCTAAATTAAGAACATTTGTAATAAATAAATAATAAAATAAAAATCATTAGAAATGTTCTTACAAAAAGGTAATTTGTTCCAGAAACAGTTTTTGATATGCTGACTGAAAATCTGTGGAAGGTCTGGGCCCATAAAATGTTCTTCTAATCATTGCTGTCCTCTCTGCCTGTCAACCTATGTATTGTCATACCTCCGTGCATCACGTCATAAGCGTGTTTCAAGCTATGCAGGGTTAAACAGATGCCAGTTGGACTTAAACAGATGGATTTTTATAGAAGGCATGCATTCCTCAGATATAGCCTAAGCTCCTGCTGGTCTGACACTTCTGAAACTGCTTTGGCTATTATTACCACCATTTGCCAACAAACTGAGCCAAGATCCTTTAAAATGATTAGACACTGTTAATGAATGTAAAGATGTACAGAATGGCCAAAATCAAAATCATTTAATGTCACCCTTTATCCAGTTCAATTTTTAAACCCCTAAAAAGGTTCAAATGTTTCATGAAGCAGCGCTTACAAAGAATAAGTCACAATAATAAGAAAAAGCAATATACTGCAATATCAAAGGTGTTCTTAACCAGTGTTGCGTCTTCTTATGATATTCATCCTTTATAAATAAGAAATGTTCCAACAGTGCCGACACTCGCAAAAACACATTGTCTGAATAACACCACAAAAAGAAGCAAATGAGGTTATAGCTGTGAAAGATACTTTATTGTTTTCTTCCCAGTGAGTATCATATTAAACAATAACAATAATAATAATATACCCCTGAAAGGCATTTGTTCTTTGTGCAAGTCAAATACAGTTAATATCAGTACAAGAGCAACGTTTCTCCGCAGAATTCGACATTAGAACACATGGGAGTGTTATTAAAAGTAGGAAGAGGGAGGAGACTGGGGCAAAAAACATCTGGACATCAAGTTAATAAACTACAATTATTACTCTTTTAGGATTCATCTCTTAGTTTCATAGTTTTGTTTCACACATAGAAGTAACAAACACTAGAAATAAAAAGGGAATGGGTCACATGATGGAGTTTGGGTTCAGAGATTCTTTAGGAATAAGAAGTGGATTGAAATGTAAAAGGCTTCTTGGTGATTAGTAGGCATGGTTGGCCACAAAGAGAGACTCCCCCGCAGCAGCACCCTTATCTCCTAAGGACACATACTTCCCGACACAGGCCAGGCTGTTGTTCTGGAGACAGAAGCACAAGACAATAAGAGTAAAAATTGATCTAAACAAACATGAAATGCTTAGGCCCCGTCTGAATTAATTAGTCCATGTCTTTTAACAAGTAAAAATACAAGAGATTTAATAAATATATTAACAATTGGCATTACTTTTTTAATAAATAAGTATCTATATTTTTTAGCAAGCACAGTCCCCTTCACACCAGAAATGAAATGAATAAGGCTGAAGGAAATGCAAATTAACACCTGTATGGTTAAAGTAAGATTAAAGTATACGCATTATCATATTTTATTATTGCAGGTTTGCATAATATTTCATATTTCAATGTTTTTATTCATTTTGAGGAACACTGAAACAATAAGCATTACAGTATGTATGTTCACAAAACACCTCTGCACTTACTCCCAATTTCTCTCAACATGGGGGCAAGAGAGGTGTCAATAAATGGGAAAACAAAATAACTTCCGTTACTTGTTTTAAAAAGTATTTTGCTGCAATTTTAAAAGTAGTTACTTGAAAAAGTAGTCTGATTACACTCTGTGTGTGTGTATTATATATTTACATATACACACACATACCCAGATCACTTCCAGCAGATTATTTCAAGTAACTGAAACTTACAAGAGCTCTCTTTACGAACTCCTCCTGGCAGGCTTTGCCATTCTCCTTCTTGCCAGCCCAGGCTTTGAGGGCAGAGGCCTGCAGGGCACGACCGTAAGAGAAGGTCAAGGCCCAGGGCCTTTGCAGGGGACACTGGTTCATGGCATTCAGGTTGAGTGTGGCCTCCTCCTCACTCTGGCCTCCAGACAGGAAGGTGATACCTAAAAAGGAGTGTGGTAATATACGTCAGAAATGAGGAAATGATAATAATTACACACTTAAGAACGTATCCAGCAGGCCCGTGATAAGATAAAGACTCGGTCATCATGAGTGAGTGAGTAACTGCGGTTGTTTTACTAACCAGGCACAGCAGGAGGAACAGTGCGGCGAAGAGCAGTGACAGTTGCCATGGCGATCTCCTGGGGGGTGTTTTTCTGGGAACAGGCATGGCCGGCAGTCACCATGTTGGGTTTGAGCAGAGTGCCCTCCAAATAAACATGGTGGTCTGACAGGGCCTTGTACACAGCAGCCAGAACCTTCTCAGTCACATACTGTGTCCTCTTCAGGTCATGGTCACCATCAGGCAAAATTTCAGGCTCCACGATGGGCACAATGCCATGCTAACGAAAAAGGAGATATCATGTCAGTAATACAAGAATACAGTTATTTTAATATACACTAACATTGAAGAGTTTAGGGTCAGTAAGTAGTCACTTATGCTCACCAAGACTGCATTGATTTGATTAAAAATACAGTACAACAGTAAGATTGTGAAATATTACTACAATTTAAAATAACTGTTTTCTATTTTAATATATGTTAAAATGTCATTTATTCCTGTGATGGCTGGCAAAGCTGAATTTTTAGCATCATTACTCCAGTCTTCAGAAATCCTTCTAATTTGATGCTCAAGAAACTATTATTATCATCAATGTTGAAAACAGTGGCAACTGTGGATTATAGAAACACTGACACATTTTTTCAGGTTTCTTTAATCAAATAGAAAACTCAAAATAACAGCATTTATTTGAAATAGAAATAGTAACTATGGGTCTTCTGTTGCTTTTGATCTATTTATCTTACAAGAAGCATTATGGTGGTGGATACAAAGCTGTGCGTGTCTCACCATCTGGCAGATGCTGGCGTAACGAGCGAGCACATTGGCGTTCTCAATGATGGCCAGTCTAGAGGGAGTTGTGGCAGTGATCTTCAGCACAGACCTCCATTTAGCAAAGTCTGCCCCATCCTTCTTATACTGAGCACAACGCTCGTACAGCCCATCCAGACCTGCGAACACAGACAGAAATTAAGGTTTAAAAAGATTCCTAGTTCAGTCAAAGTCCATAAAATTCCAATTTAAGTGGATACAAAACGATAAAAAAATTCCATGGGTAATTTTTACAACTAGATAGATAATCATGGGATTTTCACCCTGTGTGGTGGTCTCTCCATTAGTGCCAGCCAGGGGAACCACACCCTTGTCCACTTTGATGCCAACTACCATGCCCCTCTCCTTAAGGTACTGGGAGAAAGTTTTGCCATCATCTGTCTTCTGGTAGAGGGTCTCATGGAAGAGGATGACGCCACCGATGCAAGGCTTTATGCGGTCGTCTGCGGTAAACAGCAGCTGGCGGTACAGTCTCCTGTTCTCCTCTGTGTTCTCAGCATTGATGCTCTGGAATCGCTTTGCCACACTACCTGCACAGGATCAGCCATACGAGATGTTATAAGACGAGCAAATGAACTGGTTGCTAATGAACGTGAACTCAACAGCCCAAAGTACCTGTAGACTCATCCGCAGCAAGAATGCCTTTGCCAGGGGCCACAATCCTCTGAGCAATGTCGCTCAGCTCCTTCTTCTGCTCTGGTGTGAGGAATGGGTAAGCGTGAGGCATCTTGAATCTACAGAGATAGGTGTGGGAAACAGATCATATAATCATTCAGATTATCAATACAAACACAAGAACCACATAACAAAAACAGTGACCTATGATCCAGTAATGACTGGTTAAATCAACGTCAAGGAGCCTGAGCAAGGGTTTAGATTTGGGTGTGTACTTGATCGCAAACTTTACCGAAAATGTATCTTTCAACAAACTAAGTTCCATCTTGTTAGTTCATGATGCAATGCCCTTCGAAGACAAGCATGAATGACCTTGTGCGGCTCACGTAACAGTTAACTTTGCATTAAAACGGAAAAGCGACTTGTGAACGACTAGCTAACGACAGCGGTCAAATATATTTGCTTTTACTTGGATGTCGGCGCTTTAAATTAAGTAAAAACTCACCAATTGAGAGGGGTTGAGGAAGCGATGGTTTCCGAATCACACTTTCTACGCAGTCACGTTATTCTAGTACGGATGCAACGAAATTACGAGCAATTTTCCAAGGCTTGACCAATCAGGACGCGTGTCATGTTTTGATGGACAGGGCGTAGAGACGATGATTGGCTGTTCTGCTTTGAAAGGCGGGTTTAAGAATGACGCATCAAAAGGGGAGTGGCTTTAATACAATATGAGGCGGGTACGCGTTCTTGTGATACGTGCGATACGTGACAGTTCACATGCAAGGAAAAACAGACATTGAAATTATATTTTAAAATAAATAAAATCCTCGAATAAATGACCTTGACATACGTGTGCTGTGAATATTTTAGTATGTATAACAGGCTATGATTTAAAAGACACGAATGAGCTTAAAAAAATAAATAAAGTCTGGTATGAATGACATCAAATTGCATCTCTGTCTACTGGACATTGAACAGCCCCACAAAAGGCTCTTAACATTCCAGTAACAAACCTCTTAACTCCCTCCGCTCAAGTTGCATTCAACGAAAGGGCAAATTAAATATAGACAATAATTTAATGGCTGAAATCCAGCTCTATGAGAGGATTTGATTTGTGAAAGAGGCTCTGCCCTTTGTGATGTTCAATTCCAAGCACAGTCAATCAAGCTGGTAAATATTATTAATTCATGCCAAAATAACAGAGATTATAAGTGTTATATGAATTATTTTGACAGTAGATTTTATTACGGTAATAAATGTTCAGCAATAATAATCACTATTATTTAAAACATTTTTATATTAAAAAACATAGCATTATTTCTTTGATAAAAAAATAAACATTTGACAGTGAAGTAAATACATTTAAATAAAAGCAAATAAAAAGCCAACTGTACATAGGGTATCTTATTTTTGAAGTCATTTATACTTTGTACTACTGAAAAAATAAATAAAGTAGAATGCATGTTTTTACCGTAGAGCTGGATGAAGTGAGCAAGAGATACTCCCCAAATGGAGGCAGAGGAGGTCTGGATAGTCTGTGACACTCTTCTGGTGCCAGATGACCTGTATTTATTCAGACGGCGTGACCTTTGACATTCTGTGGGTTTGGCTAATCTTAGCAGCAGGCAAACCCACGATGCAACTGGAGAAGGGCGATGTGACATTCATGTACATTGGCATGCAGCAAAGAAAGGTTAAAGAGAAAGGCAGTGAGTGTCATGGACAAGGCACGTGATTATTAATGTTGCTGCAACATGCATGAAGTATAACACAATCCCTATTAAATAATGATGAAAAGGGAGTTGGTGGTCTATAGATGACTGCAATAACCCGATCGAATCTTCTGCATGATGCTTTTTAATATTACTCCATGCAAATCTCCTGAGCCCACGAGATAACTGTCATCAGAAAAGGGATTTACTTACATCAGATCTTCTGTCATGACCTTTCATCTTTTAAATGTCTTCTCTACATATTCCCTATAATCAGCAACAGCTACATGACCAATTCACAAAGGTATAGAAAAAATAGAAAACCTTTATAGAAAAATGTAGAAACTAGAATTATTTTTTTTGCAAATGCATGAAAACAAATGAAGCCACCAGAAAATCTAAGACAATCAAACAATGAATATAAAAGTGAATTATTTAATATTTTACCACCAATGCTCAATAGATAATAATACTACTGTGAACAAAGCCTTTTGCAAGAAAGAAAAACTTTAATTCATTTTAAAACCACACAGTTACAAAAATAGCACATATTTATATAAAAAATTGATATAAAAAAACTAATTTCAACTTAAATTTTGCCTGAAAACAGAGAGAAGTGACACAGCAGTCACAGCAAGTTTACTCTGTATACAAAAAACTGCCACATACATAACTGTGACATATTTCACACAATACAATATGCACACATATTTCACAGGATGATGTCCGGAAAACACTTACATTAGTAAACATTAGAACTAGCTTTTATTACTTTTGTACAGTATGTATCACAAAAATTATTACCATCTAAAATTGGTAAATCAGGGCTATATGAACATGCATCTTATATACAGTCCACACAAGACATCTGTGTCAGAAAGAGATATATTTAACAGCATGTGTAGTTTATAGTTTCCTCTCTTCACTTTGTATGGCTCATAACTGAAGGAAAATGTCCATCATATATATCATATCATATCACATTCGCTACACAAAGCATAATTCATTATTGCTGACTAGGAAACTAGAAAAGAAGAAAGTTTATAAATATGACCTTTTGTGCGGAATTGTGTCAAAAACGGCATGCTTTAAAAAATCCATGGCACAGCTTAAAGCCTTAACCTTAGCTTCAGTTTTCTATTGTTCTTTAGTGATTGTGTATTTCAGGAATTACAGCAGTTTGAAAATCAAACTTAAGTCATCACACTATGACTTAAATATGTCCAATAACCATTATACTACAATAGTGTGTACTGTGCATACAGTGTATATTATGTTTTATTAAGCATTTATTAATCTTGCTCACTTCATCCATACATGACTCAACTAAACAATGTATATTCTCAATCTCAATACATGTGCATCTAAATCTTTTAGAACCGATGTTATAAAGGTTCATTTTTGGTTAAATCAATGACTGTAAATAGGAAGGATGCTGTAATGTCTCCCAAATGATACAAACATTACAGAACAACCAAAGAATGAATCACAGTTTCTCTGGCCATCTTAAAACATACTTGAGTGTCACTTGGAGTTGGTATTTAAAGGCATCTTTTAAAGTGAGGTGGGTCTTCCTCTTTTCCTCCACTGTTCCTTCTACTTAAACTTGATCTCAAAGCAGAAGCAGTTGATGGAGTCACACTCTGGTGGTTGACAGGTACAAGCACAATCCCACATCGCACACTGCAATAAGAAGAAATGATGATGAACAAGAAAAGCCTGCTGACAGTATGAGGCGGTTTATACCACTTCTGTTCATATTTATAGAGGTTGGGGCACCTGACCGTAAATTTAGGTTAGGCAGATTCTGGGTCTTAGCACTAGTTTGTGATAAACATTTTGTAAGCTTTATATCCTAATTGCTGAACACATCAGACACACATTTGACAGAATTCAGAATTGTCCTTGTGTTATTCAGCTTTAATGATGATTGACAGACAAACGAAAAACACATATTGTGTCTGAATGGGGTTTCGTGTATTATATAGAGCGAGAAAGCTGAGATAAAAATCAAAAATACTGTTTTCCTTAGAAGCAAACTAAATAATTTCAGATTTATTTTCATTTAGGAAAAAATGCTCAAATTCATTTAGGCAATCTAAGAGTAGCTGAAGAGAATATTTGTTGTTGTGCTGTAAGTATATGGGTATCATCGGCATATAGAAGAAAAGAGACACCATATAAAAAAATATTACAATTATTGTAAAATTAATATACAGTTACTTATACAGAACAACATAGTATGTGGCAACAATACTTATCCTTATAAAAAAATACATTGTTAAGCATGGTTGTGTTTGTTTTATTATGCAATACATAGGCATTCATTTTATATTTCAAATATGTTGTTTGTGCACTTCATGCAATAAGCATCAAACAATAGTTTAATAGATTATAATTAGTCAAGAGATTGCGATAACTTTTGATCAGGCATTACCACCTGTGTGCTAAGGGTGAACCAATTCCTGAGGGGAGACTCGATTTCTCATGACACCGACTGCCTCGCTTGATCATGAATACACGCCTGCCGAATCCATGCGCTTCATTTTAATAAATTCTGCTCACTTTACAACTTAAAATAGTCAAGAATATCCGAACAAAAATATTTTATTATTAATTCAATGTAAAGGTCTATGTTTGGGTTAATATTTTGGTGGGAACCTGCCCATTCAGACAACTTCGACTCGGCACAGTAATATCATCACTCCGGAGAGGGAGAAGAGGATTTTTCAGGATGATATTACTGCATCGAGTCCATATATATATATATATGCGCTGAGTCGAAGTGCTCACAAGCACTTGCTGTGGTATTCCGCCATACATTATAGTTATCCATTTTACACACTTAGAAAAGCAAAACATTTTATTTTGTGTCACCGCATTAAGCTTCACCACAAGACAGAGCGATTTAGTGCACGCACTGAGATGAGAGAGGTATGCATCAACATGTCTTAGTTAAGGGAATAATATAGTTTAATATGGAAAAAATGGTGGAGTATCCCTTTAAGAAAAATGCTAACCAAGTCTTTGAAGGTTGAGCATGTGAGATGATTGGCTACTGATATAGAAGGAACTAATCAGCGGTGCTTTATAGAGATTGATGTAAGCAGATCGGATTAAAGACCTATTAGCCTGCGCCATCTTCAGATTCAAGACAGAACTTTACAGTATTTAATGCACTAAAATAAACAAATAATGTATTTTTTAATACATAACATTAAAAAAGGTTAGTAAATGCTTTAGAATTATATTGCTCCAAGTTACTTATTGTTAACTAATGTGTTAACTTATGTTAACAAATCATAGTTTTATTATAAAGTGTTACCAAGGCATTTAATTGGACTTCGGAGAGCATCTAACCCTAAACAATCAAAAACTAAAGAAAAAAACATATTTTACGATTTGTCTAAGGTTGCAAAATTGTGGCAAAAACAATGTGTGCTTCCAGCTTAAAAATAAAAGAAATTGGCGACTTATGACTTACATTAGGGGAGGGACAGGAGTAGTCCAGGCAGGATCGCAGAGAGGGTGGACGACAGTCACATGTCTGGGCACACACTAAACAGTACTCGCAAGGAGAGAAACCTGCACAGCAATCTGAACACTGTGGATCACACTTGGCCTGTGAAGAGAGAGAGACAAGTGTGATCCACACTGCCAAAATTACTCAAAAAAGACAACTGAAAACAGCAGGATGAGAGATTCAGAGCAAGGCAACTGTGAAAATTGTATACTTACTGGACTTAGTGTATAGCAAAAGCCATTAATATTTACTCAAGTAGATTGCAATTCGGCTTACAGTAACATTTCATGAATTTTCTTCAGAAAGAGGAACTGATGATGTACCTTGAGACAGTGGTGACACCACAGCACAGCCCCAAGGACCATCATATAGAGTCCCACAGAGATCATGATGATGGCAGGCAGCGGGAGAGAGAGAGCCCACACAGGAACAGCCTGACAGAGTCGAAGGCAACAGCACTTGATTTCATTAGAGATCACTACTACAGCTTATGGAAAAATCGCCATTTTTATGTAATAAGTAGTAGCACTTTTTGAGATTAGTCATTTATTTTGTTTTTACAATAAATAAATAATATCTTTCAAAGCCAGGCTATTATTTTGTTGTACAAGAAAGATTTTTTTATTTTTATTTTTTAGGTTTTTCTTTTTAAAATCCTAATGAAATAGATTTTTAAAAAAGTGAAACATTTACTTTTTTTAATAATATTATGGTTAATTTAAATAAGCAAGCACGTCTTTCCCGTGCTCAGACATTTCACACGAACAATTATATGGACAATGGGCATTTGCCCAGTCCAGAACTAGAGATAATGCAGTTGCAAACATTGTGCAAACATTTAAACCCTTGCCACAGAACTGTAACATTGTCTAGACAATGCAGAAAGACAGTAAAAAAATCATAAAGCAAATACACAATATGTGAAGCATATTCAAAGTATGACTGATAATATTTGGGCATATTATTCTTCAGCGGAACGACTGTTTGCGTTTATGGAGCTGCTTTACATCGGAATTGAATTCTGTTTGCATCATGGAATCATTGATTGTTATCCTGTTTATCACTGTAAAGCTGCTTTGAAACAAGACAAGAGGAAAACAAAGGGGACTTGAATTGATAGTAACAACTGTTGAGGAACTATGTGCAAGTTTGCTTGAGTCTGAAAGATCGGACTTCTATCAGAATAACTTTACCAAAAAAAAAAAAAAAACAATCTGAATCAAATTCTGACGGAACACCTATTAAATAAATGATAAATTAATTCGTGTGTAAATTAGTGTGCATTTAAATATACATGATCTTTTCTTCGTCTTATTATTATTATTATTATTATTATTATTATTAAAAAGGTAGTGCGCAGTATGGTTAAAGAAAAAACTTAAAACACTAAAACTTAATTTGTAAGTGAAAAAAAGTTAGTAGCTTGAACGCTTGAAGACGAAGCTGCTGTAATGTTAACGTTAGATGCATTTAACGTTAGCTGCTACACATTTTGGTGTCCAACAAACAGTTCCTAATTTAAATGACGTAGCACAAAACACAAAACGATCTTACATACCATTATAACGTCCCTGCTGCATTCCCAGTTGAACAGGGTTTTCGGGGTTTTCTTTAATTTAATTCAACCAGATGTTTACTCGTATTGCACATTTTTCTAGAGCGAAGCTGCTGATCCAATATTGTCCTAGCAACCGCGAAACAACTTCCTATGAGTGTACGGCGACATGGAAGGACCAAACTTAATCCATATTGAAAACATCATAAAAAGTCCGTCAGTGGAATGGAAACGAATAATGCAATGCATGCAGACGTATGTGCTATACATTATTGAATATTAACCAGACTGTAAAAAAATATTATAATATTAAAATGCGAATCTGGCCGAGCATGAACCTACAATAGAGTAATACTTTAAAGAGATCGGTAATTAATTTAGTTGTATGCATGTTCTTATGTCCATATATTTTGTTATAATTTCACAAGTTATAATCTCAAGGTTTACTGGGTTTTACACTTAATTTGTAGTGTGTTTTTTTGGTGAAGTGTACTAAAATAAACAAATAATTACAACAACAATTACTCCAGTCACCACCTGTAGTTTAAAAAAGTAGTACAATGGCAAGCGTGTCAAGTAGGCAATAAATGAACAATGAGATGCAAACAAATGTTTTTCAAATCAAGCTAATTATTTATATCTAATCTGTGGTTTGAGATGTTTCTAATAACATATTCTTTTTTTGTTTTTTAGAAAGTTTGGCTGATGAAGAAAATTTATGGATTCTATCGAATGCTTTTTGCTGTTCCAGAGCCATTGTGTGACCCAGGCATTCCTGAGCCAACACCTATAAACAAGGTTCTGGTTGTCGATAGCTATCGTTCAATCAAGTGTTCCAGTTCCAAGTGTTTCTGAGCAGGAACCTGAATTGGATCTGGTTGATCCAGAGTACTCGAGTGTCCCAGGTCCAAACTCTTCTGAACCAGTGCCCTCAGAAGGTCATGAGGTTCAAATCAATGATGCCATCTCAGACCCGAAGAGTCTGATTTGACCGACTCAGCAGGTCCTTCAGGAAGAAGAAGTGGTATCGATCAGGTTAGCATGGAAGCTGAATTGGATCTGGTTTGTTCAGATGAATCCTGTATCCTGGTTCCAAGCATTTCTGAGATGAAGGAAAAAACCTGTTTCACAAACTTGGATTATGTGAAGGCCTGTACACTCCCCCAGAAACCTGAGGTCTGGAACAACATCTTCATTGGAAATGAGTAAGTCTACAACCCATTTAGACTAATATGAACCATGTGATTAATAGTTTATGCAGAATGAACTTGAGTCAATATTTCTACATTATAAATCCTCTTTAAAGACTAATCTTGGCTGTTGTGTTCTTGTGCAGAGAGATAGCAAGGGACCGAATGAGACTGAAGGAGCTGGGTATCCTCAATGCTGCTGCCATGAAGAAGAAGCTGAGGGTCTAATTGGGAGTCCCACGGGAGAAAGACGGTTAAAAAACGGTTTATACCGTTGCGAGTCTACTACAGAGGCACGAACATCACTTATTGTGGTTTGCCTACAACACGCTGCTTGAAAATCAACAAATACCTCTTGTCAGCTGCCAAATTCATGTCAAATATATTCAAATGGATTGTGTGAATTAAATAAAATAAATGGGGTGATTCTCAATACTTAAATTGATGCTTTAGATTTCTTTTCTCAGAATTGTGAGATAAACAAAAAGTATTTAAAAGTAGTTTTAAAAAGTTAATTGTGTTCTTTTGGCATTGCATTGTAAAACTCTTTCTAGTATTTTTAATAATGTAGTTTATCTGTGTCTTTAAATAAACAGCATTACTTGATATCATATTGGTAATACAGCACTTCTTTATATCATGTTGGTAATATATATATATATATATATAACAGAGGTGTGACTATATATCAATAAAATAACACATTGATAAAATGTAACTCTTTATTTTATGTTAGCCACAGACCTTATATAATCATAAATCTGAAAACATTGTTCTAAAACCCATGGGAAATTCCAGAGGGTTCTCTTAAGGTTTCAGTACTATGTAATCAGTTCTAGGTAAATTGTCTTCTTAATTTATAAGCATGTGTATTTGTGTAAACATATGTGTGTGAATATGTATACCACTCATCCTTAAGGTTTATGTAAAATGTAAATGCATGTGTTCGTTCAGACAGATTTTCATAGCTTAAATTTATTTAAATGTTAATACACTCTTAGTTAGTTTTATTTGGAATATACACTGTTCAAAGTTCCACCTTAATTACTTTATTCAAATTCAGGATTTTTAAAAAAACTTATTAGCATTTTAAAAGTAGCAAATAACCTATAAATTCCCCTATAATGTTAGTTGATTCAGTGATAAAAGTGACAGATAACAGCTTTAATAAATGGCCAGGAGGACTGCTGGGAAAGAGAGCAGCAGGATGCAGGTGAGAGAGAGGGGTGAGAATGACCCCACCCCACCCCAAATAGATGGGTATTCTCTGATAGTGTTAGTCAGGAAGTCGGCGAAGGGAGAGGTCCTGATGAAGACTGTGCTGTTGGAGGAGTGTGAGTTCATGTCGCTCCCAGGGTTAACGGACAAAAGACCAACCTGGACCCACATGTCATTCATTCTACACAGCAGGGGGACGCCGTTCTCATTCTGAATGAGAGTAAAAAAGACCGTTACTAACTTCATACTAAACACTCAATGGAACATAGCCAGGAAACATTACAATTGGACATGGTGATATGTAGTATCTCAAACGTGTTTCAGTCTGGAAAATCAAAACACAAGCCTGCAGATACCTGCTGAAAGCTCAAAGGCAGTTGCTCTGTGCAGATGTTGATCACCGAGGTGTCTGAAGGATCGCAGTTTACAATGGTGGTCTGGACTTCCTGAAAAGATTGTCCCCCTTAGGAAGAAAGAAAAATGAATGGGAAATTCTTGAAATGTCATTGAATTTACTAAGATAAAAATCTGCATAAGTGGTAGTATAAACTCACATCCTGAATTCAAATGAACTACTGAACATTGAGTCCCAGGCCAAAAGCTTGAATGATCCATGTCAACCGGAACATTGGGAGTGTAATAAAATGGATTAGACAGTTCCACAAGTGCTACACCATTGCCGAAAATATCTTCGAAAAAGACATTTGTCACGTCAGCCGACATGGCGTAGCTGGAACAGTCCCACTGGACAACACTGAAGCTCACTGTCCATCCATCCGTACCCATGGATCTGAAGAATGAGATATTGATGTCAGGGCGCAAGTCTATGTCAACTATGTTTAGGTCACTGATTTCAAATGAAATTAAGTTTTCCTGTTTTGATTACCTGGAAAAGCAGCTAGCAGAGGTCATGACGAATCGGTCAGAAACCAAAGTTCCTACACACATAGGGTAACCGTTATCAGCTAGAGTTGCCATCCATGGCCATGAACCTTCACCTCCGCACACTGTCGCTGGAGAGAAAAGAGAGAGAGAAAGGGTAAATGAGAGTTAACGGGAAAGTGCAAGTAAACTCTAATATCAATAATATAATTTTGCTTTATCATGGTGACGTTAACAAACTTACGTGTAGTAGGGCAGTTCACAATCTCGTCTTGAGGAGGAGTGGTGGAGTTAAAAGGGACAAAACCAGCTCTGTTCGGTCCGATTTGGTCTCTGATCCACTGCTGGTACTGAGAAACTCTGGCATACACACCAGGAAATTCAGACAGAGCACAACCTCTGCCAAAACTCACAACGCCAGCCTGGATCCATGTAGAGCCCTGTTTGATGACCATTGGACCTCCAGAGTCACCCTGTACAATGACAAAGAATTAATATCTAACTCTCAGATATTTACTATTTCTAATAAATGTAGACAATATAATATAATATATATATATATATATATATATATATATATATATATATGTGTGTGTGTGTGTGTGTGTGTGTGTGTGTGTGTGGTCCCATGGTAGACCCTACGTTGTGAGGCAAAAAATGTTCTGTGAGGGCCTTTTTTGGTCACCGTGAGGAAAATTACTAATTAGCTTATAAATCAAATGTTTTTTTTTTTTTTTAATGTAGAAATGCTAGACATTTTCTGTGATGGGTAGGTTTAGGGTTAGGGGTTGGGTTAGGGGACTGGATTACATTTATTACAGATCATTATTATGATTAAATATTATTAAATTAACTTAATACCTGGCAGGAATCTTTTCCACCTTCCGGCAGTCCAGCACACATCATGTTGTCTGTTATTGATCCACCATAAAGACAGTTACATTTACTATTTCCAACCAGGGGCACATCCACCTCCTGTAGGATTTGAGGTGAAGGAAGGGATACTGGGAAACAGAAAAACTCATCAGCAACACACAAGCTGAGATGATTGAGTAAGATACTGATCTTTAGAAAAATAATCAATTTCTTACATCACATTGAGCCTATTTACACCTAACATTAAAGGAATAGTTCACTCAAAATGGAAATTATGTCATTAAATACTCACAAATACTCATCGTTCCAAACCCATAAGACTTTCATTCACATTTGATGAACAGATTGAATTTTAATTTACATTAAACATTAATGAACTTACACATTGTGGTAAACAGAAGCTCAAGCGGTAACACTTTATAATAATGGTCCGTTATAAATAAGTAACTATGCAGGAATTAATGCAGGACTTATAATGAGTAGTTCTACATTAACACTTCAGCTACTACTATTCACTAATATAGCTTAACAAATCAGTAAGTAATGTCGAATTTAGGAGATTATTCCATATGGTAATTAATAATGAGATTAGCCTCATTAAAGGTGCCATATGTAATAATTGAGGTAAAAATATCCGAAAAATGAGCTACACGCATCAAAAGAATGAGAAGAAATAAGTGCAATGATGTCATTAAAAAACTGTCAAGTTATATTGCTGCCGAGATATAAACCTAAATTAGCATGCTAAATTACTAGCCCCGGCCCGTCACGTGTCGTAATACCAGTTTGGGCCATGGGAGGCGGTATGCGGGCCGGGCGGGCAACGTTACCACCAGCCAAACTGCTGTACACGAGTGAGTCGCGCTCGCGCCGGCTTGTGTGTGTGTACTTGAACCTGATGTCAGTCGTGTGGAAATACAGCCCACTACTACATTTCAGTTCAGGGAAGAGTTCAAAAAATGATTGGTCGATATTATGCATGAGGAATACATTCAGGTAAGTTGTAGCATACAGTATCTTTCAACAGTGTTCGTGTTCTTTTTCCATTAGCTAGTAGAGACGATCGGTTCACGTGCGCTAGGGATCTGTGGTGTAACATGTACAAGCGCCAAAACGGTATATATTCTTTGAATTGCATAAAAAATTTGACAGAATCTGAGAGCTTAACTAACCTGCTTGCTAAGTGTCAATAGCGTGTGTCTCACGGTGAATTCGTTAAGAGTTGTCAGCTCTGAATGGCGCTAGCTTGATCAACATCAGCAAATGCTGTCTGTCAAATTAATTCAAACTAACAATAAAAGTGTAATATGAACAAAACGAATACCATAAACTTCAAATAATAGCCCAGGGTTTTATTTTTCCATATCGTCGAAATGCACCGCTTGTGTTTTATACAGGCGTCGATGTGACGGTCTTCATCATTTAGTGTTGAGATGTTGTCCATTGAGTCTCTGATCTCTAAAAATCTCCAAATGCTCCACGTAAAACTGCGGTCTTCCAACCTTTTACTATCGTGTCAAATGATTTGAATAACATGCGTGAGAAAAGAGAGCAAAAGAGCGCTCGATTGTGTTGTTTGAAGACGTGAGAGTGCACGTGAGCGCGGCCGTGGCACAACTCACTTTCTGGAGGTATACTGCCCCCATCTGGTATGGAAAATGGAGTATGTTTTGAATTTTAGTTCCAGATGGCACCTTTAATAACTATTAACTAAATGACAAATCATCAAGAACATTGTCGTGTGTCTGAGACGTATTCAGTCATTATTTTTACTATTCGAATAAAATACATCACTGTTTACTCAAGTGTAATCTAGTCACTATGCAGGAACTACTAGAGATCTAGACCATTAAAAGGAAAAAACAGTTTAAAGGGAAAAACATCTTTTTTTACTTTAGAATAATGGTCCAGTCCTTGAAGAGCGACTAGGTAACAATTGAATAAGTGATACATGTTCTGAGTAAAAAAAAAGATAACTGCTAACGTCTCAGACACGATAATGTTGTGATCAGTAATTATTTATAATTTGTCAATTACCAATACGTTCTTAACAATGCAATGTTCTTAATATTGTTTCCATATTATTGTTAATGGTAGTAGCTTAAGTGTTATTGTACCTACTCATTAGTCCTTCATCACTTCCTGCATAGTCACTTATCAATTATCAACAGACCATTATTCTAAAGTATTCAAGCATGTTTACTTGATGTGAGAGAACAAATGAGGTTCATTCCCATGTGTTGCGCAACAAAAACAATGAGGTTTGTTCTGGCGCATCAAGCAGGTTCGGTTGAACTTCAGTTTATGTTCGCTCATGTTTATATGTGAATAAAAGTCTAAGTTCAATCTGTTTATATAAAGTGATCGAATTGCTTCAGAAAATTATGAATAAACCGCTCAATGTATAAGTTTTACGACCTCTTTATGAACTTTTTGAAGCGTCAAAGTGGTAGTTGTGTAGCTGTCTATGGAATGACAGAAATGCCTCAGATTTCATTCAAATATCTTTATTTGTTTTCTTAAGATGAACAAAAGTCTCACAAGTTTGAAACAACATGAGAGTGAGTGATTTTTTCCATGCAAATGCGAAGTTTAAAGGGGCCGTAGACCAGTGTTCTTAATCATTATGTATCACTGATTATAGTTTTTTCATTAGTTTTTACATTTTTGATTGTATTTTAATTTTAGTTAAAGTTGTAGTCATTTTGATAGTATTAGTATAAGTTAACTAGGCCTACAATAACTCTGTCATATAGACTCTGCAAGAGTGTCAAAAGATCACATGCTTTTATACGATTAACACAAGCCATCTCGCGTTGCTTCTATATATATAGTATATATATATATATATTTGTTTTTCTTTTTGTCTTGTTGATTTTAGGAATATTTAAAAATGTATTTGTTTTCAAGAAATGCTTCTTCTATTTAAAAAAATATTTAAATTCTACATTGAGGCTTGGCAATCTCCTGCATTTTAATCACTGTCACCATGTGCCCTGGTTCACCACTGAGAGGACATTGCCAATACATGCTTGTGCGGTATCCTAGTGTACACGTAAGAGTAGTATAGCATTCTTAATTCAA